GACCAGTTGATGGGATGTAGTGTTTGACTCCATGTTTCACGTCTTTAGACAAGAGCGATGGTTGGAGGATATATGGGAATTCCTTGAGAATCTTTCGAAATGAAATTGAACTGAGTCAATCATAGCGAATTGTTGCACACTCATTGTTTTTATTGAACACGCTGTAGACATGTACATGTCTCAGACGGTGGCGGCGAAGGTCAATGAGGAGGTTGTGGCATGGCGGCAAGGAGGAGATGCTTGACATCAGCAAGTACGAGGTGAGTGCTGTATTCTCGGCCGTTGATTCGTAATGATGCAGTGTGTGTACCATAAACGAGAATAGGGGTTCCGTTCACCGCCTGGAGTGGAGCATTCGAAGGGCCTGCATGACGTTCCAGCATCATTGCTGGAATCACAGAAATTGCGCTCCTGTGTCAACCAGAAAATGATGTCCAGAAATTTTGTCGGTGACGTACAGTTATTGTTGTATCCGGGCCAACGACTGTTGAGGCTTCTGCTGGCCCGGCAACCCGTTTCCGTGGTTGGCATTGGTGTGGATATTTGTAGAACTTGCACAGTGGATTATATTTCCTCCAGTGTTTTCCAAACTTTTTGTGGAAGAAAGAAACGCCGGGGGCAGTGGGAGGTCAAGTTGGGTCATGGGTGACAACATGTACAGATGACGAGTGAATGCTTCGAGAAGCGATCACTAGCTGGTCAGCCTCCATGGCTAAGGCTCTTGGGTTGACAAGTTGGCTTAAGACTCACAGACTTGCTCCGGCAGTTGGGTCAAGGAGTTGTGCTGGAACAGGAAACATGGCTCGTGGTGGCCAAGGAGAGCTAGCATGTGGTCCATCAGCTCTGATAGTTTCCTATCCCCCAACCCGGAGAGGCTGAACAGTGCCGCTGCCCTTTCCTCTTCTGTTTTCTCATAGGCTGACAGGAACTTTTTAAGCGTCGGTACTTTTTGTCAGCCGGTGGTGTGGAAAGGACTGACAGAACCAGATTGGCCGTTTCTGTGTCTAGCGCCGATACAATGTAGTAATATTGGGTATCATCTACATTGATGTATTGTGAAGGGCAAATTGCGCTTCGGCCCAGATAAACCACGCCAACGGACTGTTTTGCGAGAAAGTTGGGAGTCTAATGGAAACAGCAAAAGTCATATATCCATTGTGGAAGATTGTGTGGCAGGGCATACTAAGAATTGAAGGTAAAGATAGGTTTTGCCTGTCGGGGTCACCAATTGTGGCAAGAAATCAATGAACGAATAAAGTTGAGTGATTGAATGTGTATTGAAGTCGAGGAGAGAAAGCAAGAAGGGCAAGAACATACGTACAAACATGGATTTTTATTTTGTGCACAGTAGTGTGAGCAGGCATGTCTTTGCGGGTTGTAAGTACGGTTAAACAAGCTCTAGTGCCCTAAAGATGAAGTTCCTTGAAAGGCTCCATGGTTCGATAATACTTGTCAAGGTAGACAAGATGCCCAGTGGGAAATAGTCCACAGTACGAATTTTGGTAGTTAAGCCAACATTAGTTCAATGTACCAGGTGTCAAATGCCTTTGTGGGCAAACAGTTTTGATTGTTTCAGATTTTCCAATTCTTGGTCAGTCATAGGTCAAGGACAAGGTCGTTAAAATAATTATTTTCATTGACTAAAGCACTAACATTGGCAAGACCATCCATTTTCCTTTCAGACAATAAAATGTATGGTTTTAGTAAATTAGGTACTTCCTTCTGATTCTTTGACCATTTATTCCACAATGGATGATGCACATTCAATTTGTTCGTTATACCCGCACATTATGGCATGTTTGTGAACACAGTTTGAGGATAAACCAACTGTGACTAAGAAAGCCTCGTTATTGTTATTAAATGACTTCATAGTCGTAACTTAATTTCAGCAATAAAACTGGATTGATTAAAATATAGGCTTGTGCTGCTTTATTGTAAAGAGGCCTACGAAAAATGTTTGTCTTATGCTACTATTTTTTTCATGGTTTATCTCTTCACTCATACTTATATTGCATAAAGCCTAGCATATGTTTCACTGGCTTTAGTTACATTTTCTTGACTATTCTTGCTCCATGTGCCTCTGTTATGGGTAAGTGGGGGAGTTGTTATCACTCAATAAGCTACTTTGTTTAAATCATGATCTTTAATTTCATGACAATGTAACCTCCATGCTATTATGAATTTCTGTCATTTAATTTATACCAAGTGTTTACATGTTATTAAATGAAAAGTACAATTTTTCAAAGTATCTTTTGTCCCTTTACTTGATCAATAAGATTAATTTGTTCATGCTTTTGCTGTTGTCCTACCATGTTACACTTTTCAGTTTCACTTAAAAATAATGAGTGATAAACCAGGCCTTGGTTGTGTTTGATTCTCATGTGACTGTTAGGCCAGCCAGTCTTCAGATAAGATTCCAAAGTATGTTGCATTTCATAGACTTACTTATTTTCTCTGGTGTGAATATGTTTTGAACTCTTATAAAGTTATGCAACTTGTGTAATTCGGATTGAATATATTCTTTTGATTCTTGTGGTAAGGAAGAAAAATTATGGACTTGGTGGAGAAAGAAAGGAGTGGATATTGGATTGGGGGGGGGGGGGGGGACTGAGCAGAGAAGATGATGAATATGACATGAGGTAACTCAAAAGTACACACAGAATAGGAAAATGAACAAAATGCTTAGACAGTTAAAGTTTGATAAATAATCTCTTTTAAAAGTTTTTGTTGCGAGTAAAGTAGTAAGAATATTAAGATTAAGATTATAATGTTTACTTTCATATAATATAGGGCCTACAGTATAGTACTATATTGTCTATATTGACACACTGTTGGATTTACAAATATAATTTGTAAAATATTTTGAACCATAATATTTGATGTAGACATTACAACTTTAGTTTTTTTTAAAGACTTGAAAACACTAACAGCCAGCTCTAAAGATTTTAAAGACTGCTGCCCACAGCATAAACCTTAGACTTAGAATTCAAATTTTTATAAAAGTAATTTATATGACCACTGAAAACTGACTTAACGCTCCATTTTAATTTTGCCGTCTTAATGATGGGTAACATGACACTATAGATGTTCTAATTTTGTTAACTAATGGTATTCAGCTGGTTAGCAAACTTGACTAATTGGCAACGGTTCAGAATGTGAGTGTGAGTCTGAGTAGAGTCAAGATGTTTCTTGCCCCATCAAGTTTGATTTTCCTTTCACTTTCAGGCTGATATCCTGTCCTAAAAGAGCTAGGTCTTCAAAACTCCTAAGTTAAAGTATGCCTAGTTCAGCTGTAGGGCTACATTTTTATCCTTAAGTTACAGCTTTTGGCTGGAGGAATTTAATATTGGACATCGTTAACTTCATTCTGCAAGCATTTCTGCTTAATTTTAATGTTTAAAAAATTAAATGTATACAGTTTCTATACGAAATGAGCCCACGGTTGTTTTGTTACCAAGCCAAAATAAATGTCAGGCTTTGACCACAATCTCTTGGTCATCCAGCTGGTTAATTCATTCATGGGTGAGTTACACTGAAAAAATTGCTGACTCGTAATGTTGAAACGGGGTAAAAAATTTTTTAGCAAAAGTGAATGCTTATCGTCAACATCTCATGACAGGCTGTGAAAATGATGTACGCTCCCAGTAATCAAATTCTGCTAAAAGACCATCAAATTCAGAATACAGAGAACCCAGTGAGCGTGATCTTTGCGTCATGATTTCCTATCAAAGTTAAAATTAAAGAGAACAATATGGTAATTAGTTTCAGCTACGGGGTTATACGTGGAATCTGCATCTGATCAACTTTATTTTGCGAGAGGATCGGTGTTTTTGAGGCTAGAAAGTGGTGTTCAGTTCAAGTTACAGGTCACTCTATGGTATTGGTTTAATTTAAAAGCTCCTTTCATTCAACACTGACGATATTTTAGAGGCAAGACTTTCGATTTAATGTCCGTCATTTGGACTGAGCAAAGTATATTGACAGTCGTGAAAGTGAAAGAGCCCCTAAGTTAAACAGTGCAAACTGTCAGGTAATGTCTCGTCAGGGATTCGATCCAGGGTCATATATTTCGCAGCCAAGCATGTTACTGTTACTAACTGGGCAAACGGAGCAGCTGTGCGATGAAGTTTAAGTGGAAATCTCCCTCGGCTCAGGGAGAGTGTATGGTGCTAGCAGTTTGCATGATGGCCGTTTCGTGCTTTTAAATATATATTTTTTAAAACTTATACAAAATGTAAGATACTTTGTGGTGCAGGTAGTGGTAGTCCACACGATTTGTTCTCAAACGACTTAGGAATGTCAACATTATTATATTAAGTCATACACTTACCTGAGAAGTTAAGATTAAGTGTGACCGAAAAAGAATGTGTTGATCTTTTGTCCGATAAAGTTTATAGGCCTACGTACTAGCTATGCCCTTTTAAGATAAAGGTGAGCTACGTAGGCTTATGTATCAAACTCTTTATTTTGCCGATGGGCCCTCCCAGCTGCGAAAATGGAAAGAATGGAGACAGAGAACGAGAGGAAGAGAGAAGAGGAAAGGGGAGCATGATCACTAGCTAGTTCAGTAAAAAAAAAAACACACCTCATATAGATCTGTGTACATTGTACTTGCATTGTTTTACAGGTGACTGGTCAGCACCAAGTGGTAATAATAATTAATGTATCATTATTTCACCCTGTCACTCGTATTTCTCACAACCACATTATGCGCTAAGAACAACTAAAAGGGAATGAGTACAAAATGTACCCATAGCTCTTCTTTTTTTGACTTGAGGCTTAGCCCTTAAGATTTTCTCTCTCTCTCTCTCTCTCTCTCTCTCTCTCTCTCTCTCTCTCTCTCTCTCT